TTGACTGCTAACCAGAAGGCTGGCGGTTCAAACCCACCAGCCACTCCTCGGAAGGAAGGTTGGGCAATCTACTTCTGTGGTGATATCCCCTCAGAAACCCAAGGAGGGGTCGCTATCCAACTGATAATTCGAGTCAGATCCAACTCAATGGCAATGGGTTTGGTTTGGTTTGGTAATGCCTAGGATATTGATCTTCACATGTTATATTTAATTTTTGACAACTTCATGTTTTCCTGAATTCATACTTCATACATTCCATGTTCTGATTATTAATGGATGTTTGCAGTTGTTTCTTCTCATTTTGATTTGTGCACTATCAGCAAATGAAGGTCCTGAAAGCCTTACTCCATCTATCTCATGAAGGTCTATTCTACTTTGAAGAGGCAACTCTTACTCAGTCATATTTTGAGGACTTTCCAACTTGAGGGGCTCATCTTCCCATACTATATCAGACAATGTTCTGCTGTCATTCATAAGGTTTTCACTGACAAGGTTTTTTTTTTTTTCTTTTCAGAAGTAAATCACCACATCCTTCTTCCTAGTCTATCTCAGTCTAGAAGCTCCTCTGAAACCCGTCCACCACGGGTGACCCTGCTGATGTCAAAATACTGGTGGCATAGCTTCCAGCATCTCAGCAACACACAAGTCACCACAGTACAACTGACAGACGAGTGGTTTTAAATCAGGAAAGGTGTGCAACAGGGTTATATCCTTTCACTGTACTTATTCAATCTGTATGCTGAGCAGATAATTCGAAAAGCTGGACTATGTGAAAAAATGTGGCATCAGGATTGGAGGAAGACTCATTAACAATCTGCAATATGCAAATGACACAACCTTGTTTGCTGAAAGGGACGATGACTTGAAGCACTGACTAATGAATATCAAAGACTACAGCCTTCAGTGTGGATCATATCTCAACATAAAGAAAACAAAAGTCCTCACAAGTGGACCAATAAGCTACATAGTGTTAAACAGAGAAAATACTGACATGTTTGAAGATTCCATTCTACTTGGATCCACAATCAGTACACATGGAGATAGCAGTCAAGAAATCAAATGATGTATTGCACTGGGCAAATCTTCTGCAAAAGACCTCTTTAAAGTGCTAAAAAAGAAAATATGTTATTCAGAAGATGAAGGTGCACCTGACTCGAGTCACATGTGGTAGTTAAGGTTGTGTGTCAACTTGGCTGGGCAGTGGTGTTGAGTGGCTTGGCGGCTGGATATAGTTATTCTCCATGTTGAGATTATAATCACCTCCATGGTGGAATTTGATGTGAGACATTAATCAGTGGAAAGGTAGTTGCCTTCAGGGTGTGCTCTGCTTCAGTATATATGGAAAAGCTTTGAGAAAGACCTCTGACTTTTGGGCACATTTGGATCCTGCATTTGGCTGAGTCTTCATCCTCAGTTCTTGGATTTCAACCAGTGACATGCCATGTTGTCTGCTGATCTTGGGGTTGTGCCATTTTACCTGCCGATCTTGAGTTGGTCAGCCTTAGCATCCAGCAGCTGCATGCGTTAAGAGAAGCCTCTAGCTCCAGTGGGCCTGGAAAAAGAGGCAGAGTTGAAGCCCAAGGTCAAGGGATCTTCACCCAGCCCCTAGAGCCAGCACTCTGAATTCAGACTTCTAGGTCCCTGCAGTGCAGTGAATTACTTGGTATCATTTTTCTAGCCATAGTCTTTGTAAGTCCCACCAGATTACTGGGTGAGACCATGCAAATAAGGTGTGTAGAACTCTGATGTTGAGATTAGTTTTGTCACCCTTCCAGGTTTAAAATGAGCCCTCCTAGAGGCAGAGGGGGGAATCTCATTGCCATCAAGAGAGAAGAGCTGGAGGTGAAGTAGAGTGCATCCTTGGACTTGAGATCCCTGCACTGGATCTCCTTGGCAGAGATACCCTGGCAGAGAAAATGGTCTTGCTGGAACCAAGAGGCACGAGACATAGCAGTGGACTTACCTGGCCCACAGAGCGAGAAAGCTGAGTGCCTTTGGGGAGGAGGCTTGCTGACAGAGTGGGGTGCACCTAGATGTACCCATTGGCAGAGCTAAAAAGAGCTTTGTTAATACTTGCCCAAGGAGGGCAGAGGACAGACCAAGAGGCCAAGGGCCAGAGAGGCGTGTCTGAGGGAACAGCAGAGAGAATTGTATTCTGAGCACACTCCTAAACCTGAATTGTAGCTTGTTACTTCCCTAATAACCCCCATAATAGTGAGTATTGTCTATGAGTTCTGTGTGGCCATTGCGAAGAATTATCAAACCCAGCAGAGAAGCAGTGAGTGCAGTGGGAGGGATAGTTGGTGTTTGAATTGGTAAAAGGCTGGTGGGTGGCAGCATGTCTGGACTCATAGGAATAAGCCTTGGGCTGTTGATGGTGATTCTGTCTTCCTCTTGTGAAGTTAGAGGAGGTCAGAAGATGCCGCCCCCTTGCCCTTTTTGCACTCCCTAAACTATAAGAGAATAAATTTCTGTTTGTTAAAGCCATCCACTTGTGGTATTTCTGTTATAGCAGCTCTAGAGAACCAAGACATCATGGTATTTTCAATCATCTCATATGCATGCAAAAGCTATACAATGAATAAGGAAGACCAAACAAGATTTGATGCCCTTGACTGTGTATTCATAGGGAGACAGCTTGGGGGGCAGGAGTGCACAGGAGGGAAGGAGACAGCAAAGAGGTAACTATGGGGAGGAAGTGGGAGGGGAGCTGATGCATTATGGGAAATTTCAATGT